TGAGCTGATTCTCAAACCCCCCCTTTGCTATCCCCCTTTGTGCCCGACCCGACAGGAGGGGGCCACGATGAGGCCCAGGGGGTGCGGAAGCTGGAGCGTAGGCCCGACCAGTGGTTGGCGGGTTTTTCCAGTCCCAGGGCCTCTTCGAGGGTCGGGGACGACGTCGGGGTGGTGTGGTGTGTATATTTTTGGTCCCCGCTATCCCGGGGAAACAGCGAAGAGTGTATACGCCAGGACCCCGTGTACGCCAGGATCCTCTGTCCTGTGCGAGATTCAGTGTGAGGCCAGACAAAGGCGTCGGTGTATAGAGTTCGGCTCCTTACAGGGGGTGCGGGCTTCTCAGAGGAGGAAGAGGTAGCCATACCGATACCTCTACCCTTTCCCCTTTTCCCCCTTTTCTGGGGCTCCTGGGAGGCCCTCGTCGCCACCGCTGGATTCGCCTCGAAATACTGGTCAGAACGCACCCCAGGAGAGGTCATGGCTTGCCTATGGGCCTACCAGAGGCTGTTCTGATAATATTTTGTGGTCTGCACGAGGTATTCTCAGAACATGCCTGGCCGAGATGGTCTCGGTGTTTGTTATGAGAACATTGTTTTTTGTTGTAAGAGCACTGTTGGGGTTTTAAGAGCATGTCGTGGAAGGCCTGTACCGGAACGGTCGGCCCCTGCTCAAAGGCTGTCGACGTCGGGGTTTTTGCCGAGGGCTGTCGATGTCAGGTATGTCATGTCGCACCTTGGCCGAGCGCCCTTTCGGCGGATCGCGCCCGAGACTCATCCGATTCGGTGTGATTCAAGGCCGAGGAGCTGCGATGCCGAGTCGAGGATCGACCTCGGCCTCCGATGTGGAACTCTGGTGTCCCCACGGAGGCCTCTCCAGCCTGCCAATCTCCGCCGGTTCGACTTCTCCCGACCTGGCTGCCCATTCCCGCAGGTCCTATGGACTTCGATTGCCGATGCGAGATGTCGATTCGCTTCAGGGCTCTCCTGGGCGGTCTATGTAATCTTGCGTAAGACCAAGCTTGTTTCGTCGCTGCAGTGGTGTATTCTTCCGAAAAAAACAAAGACCACCCATCGGGGCCCACACATTTTGCCGTTCCAGGCTGGAGTGTGCGGGAACGTGCGTTGTTTTCGTTGTCGGTGGCCTAGCGCCGATGAATCGGCGGCGTATCGCATATTTCTGGTGAATGTGCCCCCCCCCCTCCCGCCCAGCCTTTTCGCCGCCACTGAGAGGTCCAGACTTCAGGACCGGCTTGCTATGCTGGGGTATCTGAGCAGGCTCAGCGCGCGCGAGAAGTCCGAGAGGAGGAGGACCCTGGCAGAAAGGCAATCGCTCTGCGGCATCCCCGAGGCGGTGCAGGTCATGAGCGGCAAACATATCCGTATCCGCGCCCTCGCGGTCTGAATCCTGGGGCGCGATGCCGCCGATGCGCGGTCGCACGGATGCGTTCTACGCGGGGCATCCGCGAAAGAGTGCCCCCCCCCACACCCGCGGGGTCGCGGCCCTGGGGCCCTGCCCCGCAAGGCCGCGGGTACGGACATGTCTTTCGCCCACGAGCAGGTTGCGATGAAGTCGGCCTTCGAGGAGGCCGCCGCAGAGGAAAATGGCCGCGTGTGGGCCCCGGCGCAGCTGGTGTCCGCGCTGAAGCGCCTCGGCCTGCGCGGGAAGACGGGCCTGGAGCGCGAGGAGATCCGGCGCTGCGTGGAAGGCTTCTGCCAGGGAGCCTCGGAGGTGGAGCCGGTGGACCTGGCCACCTTCGCCTTCGATGTAGTGCCCGCGACGCGGGACATCGAGGGGTAAAAAGTTGCGCCAGGTAAGCCACAGGAAGGTTTTCGAATGCGGGGCATCCGCCGAAAATATAAGAACTCCAGAGGAGGGGGCGAGGGAGGAGGAGGAGGAGGAGGAGGAGGAGGGGGAGGAGGAGGAGGAGGAGGAGAGAAGGGTGAGGCAAGGAGGACGGGGAGGAGGAGGACGACGAGGAGGGATGACGGAGGTGGACCTGGCAACCTTCACCTTCGAGATCGTGCCCGCGACGAGGGACATCGAAGAAGAAGACGACGAAGAATCAGGTGCTTGACTTAAGAAGTCTCTTGGATCGGACTGTTTGGGGTACGATTTGTTGGATCCGCTTTGTTGTTGGATGATATTTTAGCCCATTGAACATAGCAGTTGACACACACTTCGGCGCCCCAAGCGGGTGTCTTGGATCGGTGCTGTGCGGCGCCTCCAGCATGCTCCGCGCGCCAGGCAGGGGGGCCCCAGCGCCGCTTCGGGAAGTCCGCCTCGAGCTCCGAAGGGTTCTGTTTCGTCATTTGTTCAGGACTCGTCTCTTAAGTAACGGTATGATTACGCAGTTGTTTTTTTGTGAACGCAGGTTTTGATGGCCACTTTTGTATGTTCACGCTCTCTAGGAAAAGCTCCGCGAGCTCCGACGGGACTCGCTGAAGAGGCAGTTCCAAATCTTTGACACCGACGACTCGGGGTACCTCAGCAGGCGCGAGTGCGCGGCCATCTTCGAGTGCTTCTGCGCCTGGGACATCGACTCAAGAGGCTTACACGCCACATTCGCCAGCCCCTTCCATTCGATTCCTCCTCGCGTGTGTGTGTATGTTCAGGGTCAAGGGGGAGGTCGGTTCAGCGGGGAATGCACCAGCCCCCAATCGCCCATTCATCGCCGATAGCGGCCCGCGAACCAAACCCGTCCAGGAGCGCGCGGCTGCGCACATCGCTGATCCATCGGCGATGTATCGCCATTCAGGCTCGCCCCCCCCCCCAGGCTTTGTCGCCGCAGCGCTGCGCGCGTGGCCGCGACGTCGATCATGTGTGGTTTCTTGTGTGCTTACGTATGTGTGTGTATACATATATATGTATATGTATAGGTATAGGTATAGGTGTACAGATGTATGAACACGTTTACGGTAAATGTGTGGGCGGAGGGGTACTGATCGTACGTTAGCCGCATCAGAATGCATGGCAGCCTTTCTGGCTCAGGGCCTTGAGGGCCTGGGATGCTCCCTGCTTGCGCCACCGCACGCCTCGCCGCCCCGCGGGCCCAGCAGCCTCGGATCTGCGGCTGGTGCACGGGGCGCCTCGCCGAGGGCGAGAGTCTGGCCCTCGCGGAGGGCGGCGCGCTCCTGGAGGTGTGCGAGTTGTGCTACCTCCTCGCGCTGGCGCGGCAGGGGGCGCGCGAGGCGCGGCTGGCACCGCAGGAGCGGGCGCTGCTCGTGGAGCAGGCGCGGCCGTTGGCGGCGCAGATTACGGCTCTGTCGACCTTGTCGCCCGATGCCGCCTAAGGCCAAGGCCAAGGCCAAGGCCAAGGCGAAGGCTCTTCCTGTGCTTCCCGCTGCCGCCCGCGGCCGAGGCGCTGGACATGGCGGAGGACGGCGCGGTCGCGGGCGCGCAGGCGCGGCTGCTGGAGCGTCAGGTGCGCCAGTCGGCCTCGGAGGCGGTTTCGCGCCCGCGGCTGGAGGTGCGGCTGGCGGAGGCGCTGGAGGCGGCGCGGCTGGTGCGCCGGTGGTGCCAGGGCTCGGCGTCTTCCCTGGTTTGCCTGGAGCCTTCGGCGCGGGCGCCGCAGGCGCGCCCCCCCCCGCCCTCGGGGCGCCTGGCGACGGCGCTGGCGGCGGCGGCGGTGGCGGCGTCGGAGCGGCGCTGGTTGGCGCGCTGGCCGCTGCTGGCGCTGGCGGAGCTGGAGGCGCGGGCGCGCCGCCTGGCGCGGGGCCCGCAGGACTGGGCGCTGCCCTCGGCGTGTTGGGAGGTGCGGTCGTCCCAGCTGCAGCGGTGCAGCTTGGCGGGCTCGTCGACGGGGCCTGGACGCAGGCAGCCGCCCTCGTCGGGGCCAACTGGCGCCAGGGCCTAGCCGTCGAGCTGCCGACCCACGACGTGGCGGGGGCGATCAGTGGGACCGCACTGTTCGAGATCGATGAGGTCGGCGTGCCCGGTGCTGGAGGCCAGTATCTGAGCGCGCAGTTCAGAGGCGCGCCCCTGCCTGCTGAGGCGATGCGCTTTGACGGCGCCTTCCCTCCGCGCGGCGGCGGTCCTGCTGGGCTGCTGCACCTCTGCGCGCAGGGGCCTGCGCGGTGTGGCGAGCCTGCGCAGGCGGGGCGCGCCGTCCTGCACGTGGAGTGGCTTCGGCTGCGCTCGACGCGCGGCCTAGTGGAGCCTTGGGTGCGGCCGAGCGCCTTCGGCGGCCGTGGTGGTGGAGCTGGTCGAGGCGGCCCCGCTCCCATCCCTGGCGGCCCCGCCGCCGACCGCCTGGCAGCCGCAGCAGCTGCCCGCGCGCTTGCGGTCGGAGGCGGCGGCGGCCGCGGAGTGGCTGGCCGTGGCAGGCGCCGGGCTCGCAGCGAGTCTGGCAGCCGCAGCGACGGCGAAGGCGAGCCGCGTTTTCGAGATGCCCCCTCTCGCGGCGGCAGCGCACGGCTGCTGGCGGAGAGACAGCCTGGCGCGCTCTACGACGAGGCGATGCAGAACATCGCCCGCGTCATGGGCCTTCGGGAGGGGGCGGACGGTTCCGAGACGAGGCCGAAGGTGGTCGGCTACTTGCAGGCCATCGTGTTCGGCCACCACCGCGTGTCCCAGCTGCGGATCAACACGGTGCGCGAGCTCCGGACCTTGGCGACAGCGCTGGACCAGTTGGAGAGCGGCGCTCTGCCGCAGTTGAGCGACGTGCTGATGCAGAGGTTCAAGGCGCTATCGAGCTCTCTCTGTCGGGCGCGGGCTGGCAGGTTGCGAGCGTGCTCGAGATTGTCCCAGACGTGAGGCCGTCGCTGGCGTCGATGGGCGAGCAGGGTCTGGCGCGGCGCTCGGCGCTGCTGCGGAGGCGCTTGGAGGATGCCAAGGGCCGCGGAGCCTTCGGGGCGTTCGGCCGCGGCCAGGGGCGCGGGTGACCCGAGGGGGGGTCGCGGGGGGGCCAGAGGCCGCGCTCCCCCTTTCGACCCGCGCCTCAGCCAGCGCGGGAACTCTCGCGCGGGAAGGGCAAGGGTCGAGGCCGCGGACGGTTCCGCTACTTCCCGCTCCGAGGGGGCAGCCCCGCTCGCGCTCCAGGGTCGCCAGCCGCGGCGCCTCGGGCCGAGGCGGGGCCCGCCGCGGCGCCCTCAGGCCCCCGCGCGCGGACTCCGCCCCCTCGGGCGGAGCGGGCCCCCCGAGGGGACAGCCCCCACCCGCGCCGAGTTGCGCTGGCGGGGGGCCCCGAGCGCCGCACCTTCAGGCAGGACGAGCCAACAGCGGCGGCGGCGGCGCCCCAGTGAGCAGGGCGCGGTCGCCCGAGGCGCCGCGGCGGCAGGGGACGCAACGCAGGGAGAGCCAACGGCTCGCGGCCCCGCCCGGCGGCCGGCCGCAGGGCTGGCCCCCCGGCGGCGGCGCGGTGAGAGCGCATGGTGACGATGCCCCTGCTGGTGACGCCCGGGCTGCAGCGGCCGCTCCTTTGCAGGCTGCTGCGCCGCGCGGACCGCCTGGGGCCTCGCCGTCCCGTTCGCTACCTGACCACTGCGCTGCTGCCCCTCTGGGATCTCCATCTCCCACTGCTGATGATGATTTTTCTCGACACGATCCTCTGGAGGACTGGAGAGACCTTGCTGGTGCTGCTGGTGATTTGCTCCGTGAGCCCTATGACGTGGGCCCGGTCTTGCTCAACCTCGTCAGGGACTTCCCCGGTTCGTTCGGTCGCTACGTCCGCGACTCCCTCAAACCTCAGCTGCGCGAGCATATGGCCATCATGGGAGGTCGGCTGCAACGTGACTTGTTGCCGTTACCGTACCCTACCATCGTGAAGACCGACGTCGCGCGCGACGGCGACGACCTTAGCGACCTGAGCTGGGAGGCACTCCGCTGCAGGCTGGTTGTCACGGTGCAGGCGCTCAACTGGGAGGCAGGCTTTCGCTCGCTGAAGTTCGCGCGCCATTGCCGCAGGCGCCCGAACGCTGTTCAGCGGGCAGCCTTGGCGGCCCTGGGCCGCCGCCTGTACCTGGCGACGCGCGTCGAGACCAGCCTGCCTGCGGAGCTCAACTGGGAGGACCGCCTGAAGGACCGCAAGATCGGCTACGGTGGCGCCGAGATCACCGCGCCTCACAAGCTGACCCTGGAGCAGGTGCTGGACGGCTTACCGCCGCCTGGTGTTGCGGCCTCGATTGAGGCGGCCGACGTCGCGGCGGGCTTCGTGCGGGACGCGTTGCTGGATCCTGGGCTGGTGCTGCTGCCGCCTGCGCTGCGCCGCGCGGCGCCGACTTCGGCGCGGGCTTGGGCCTCGGAAGGCGAGTGGCATCGCATCGTTGAGGCCCTTCATGAGCGCGGGATGGTCGGCCCTATATCCGCGCCTGACATCGCGTGCCGAGATGGGTCGCCGCTGCTGAACGGAGCCTTTGGCGTTCCGAAGGCCCACGACGCCCCTGTCAAGTGCGAGGGCGGGATGCTGAGGCCCGTGCTCAGGCCCATCACCAACCTGATCCCGTCGAACGCCTGCCAGGAATGCATCGTTGGCGACGCGCCCGAGATGCCGACGATGAGCCAGCTGAACGGCCTGGTCTGAACGGAGTTCGAGGACTTGCTGTGGAGCGGTGCCGACAGGAAGGCCTTCTTCTACGTCTTCCGTGCACCGCCGCCGTGGTGGCCGTACATGGTTATCGGGCCGCCCGTGCCGTCGCGCCTACTGGGCCTCAAGGGCGGCGGCACAACCCACATCTGCCTGCGGGTAATCGGCATGGGCTGGATCAGCGCGGCGGGGGTCACGACTCACCTTCATCGCAACATGCTGCGCCGCAGCGGCGCGGTGCCTCGCGGCCTGAGCCCCAGCTGCGAGATTACCCGGCGCCGCCGCCTGCCGCTTGGTGCAGAGAAGCCCTGCCCGCCTGCTTGGATGGTGTACATCGACAACTTAGAGATCGCCGAGATCGTCGACAAATCTGAGGCCGACAAGTTACGCGGGGCGGTCCCCGAGCTTCTGACTGACGCTTGAGTCTGCTACGAGGCAGCAGGGTCACCTGGCTCCCCGGGCAAGGACCTGAACCGCGCGGTGCGCGCCACCACTCTGGGCGAGCTTGTCGACGGTGTTGAGGGTGTCCGTGGGCCACCTGCAGGATGCATTACTGAGATGGCCAGCCTCGCGCTCTGGGTTCTGGGCAAGAGGCGAGCCAGCATGCGATTGATACGTATTCTTCTTGGGCTCTGGGTTCGCGCGCACTGCTTTCGCCGCCCGCTGGCCGCGAGCTTCGCATGCACCTGGAAGTGGCTCAACGACCCGTGCTGTGGAGGCCGCTTCAGCGTGAGCGTGATCGAGGACTTGCTGATGTGCCTAGCCCTGTCGGGGCTTTGCGTGGCCGACATGAGGCTCGATGCCGATCACCTGGTGACGGCGTCGGACGCGTCGGAGGCCGCTGGGGCCGTGGTGTACAGCACGGGGCTTACCGAGCGCGGCCGCGTCGTTGCGGGCAGGCGCCAGCGGCCCGCTAACGCCGCCTGCGAGGAGGAGACCGCCCTGATCACCGTCTTTGATGGTATCGGTGGCGGATGCCGAGCCTTCGAGGTGGACCCGCAGGCGGTTCGCGTCGCGCGGCGCGCTTACCCTGGCACGCAGCACCTCGGAGATGTTACATATGCTGACCCTGCTGCCCTGGCTGGTCTGCTGCGGGCCCGTGGCCGCGTCGCCCGCGTGGTGGTAATCGGCGGCTTCCCATGCCAGATCTACACGAGCTTGAACGTCGACCGCAAGGGCTCGTCGGACTCGCGCGCCTCGCTTGTCGATCACATGGTGAGGGTCATCCGAGGCCTGCGCGCGGCCATGCCCGAGGTGAGCGTAGACTTCCTTGGGGAAAATGTGGCATCAATGGCAGAGTCCGACGTCCTTCACCTCAGCGGATTGTTCGAGCGGATCCCCTTGGAGATTGAGGCTGGGGACATTGGCTGGGTGAGGCGTCCTCGTCTCTACTGGCCGTCCTGGGACCTGCTGCCGTCGTGCGAGGCCAAGACCGTGATGGTACTGACCAAGGACGGCGCCTCTCGCCGCCGGTGCCGCGTGTCGCTGGAGGCGGAGCCCCCGCCGCTCGAGGAGTGGCTGCCAGCTGGCGCGCGCTGCCCTGGAGCGGAGGGTGGCGTGCCCCTGCCTGCGTTCGTTCGCTGGGCGCCGCGCTCGCAGCCGCGCCCCAGGCCCGCGGGCATCGGGGAGTGCACGGCTGCTGAGCTGACGCGCTGGGAGGAGGCGGCCTTTGCGGCGCCGCCATGCCAGTTCCGTGGCAGGTGGTGCATTCGCTGGCCTGACGGACGGATCGCGCCTCCTGACGCGGTGATGGGAGAAGTTGATGGGCTTCGCCGAAGGCCACACCGTGCCCTGCATGACCAACAGTGCGGCGAAGGCCGAGCCCAGCAAGTACGAGGGGCTGAGGCGTTCGCTGATCGGCAACTCGTTCCAGTGCGAGGTGGTGGCGTGGCTGCTGGCGCACTGGGCTGTTGCGGCTGGGCTGCTGGTGGCGGTGCCGCCCTTCTCCGAGCTGCACGGGAGCGCTCGGGCCTGGGCTGGCGGGCGGAGGCTGTGGGCTGGCGACGTCACCTCGCTGCGATGAAGCCGCGCGGGGGTCGACGCGGAGGTCCGCGGCGAGCTGATGGCCTGCAGCGCAGCCGCACCGGCCGAGCAGCAGCAGGCGGGCGAGGAACCCGCCGCAGCGGCGCCGGTGGCGGCCAACAGGCTCGTCTACGTCGGCCGCGGCTCACGGCGCTGGGGTCTCGCCCCGTCGTGTTTCGGCAACCCGTTCGCCGTGGGCCCGAGCTGCTCCCGCGAGGACGCGGTGGCGCTGTTTGCTGGATGGCTGCGCAAGTAGCCCGAGCTGCTTCGCCGCCTGGAGGACCTGCGCGGTGCCAAGCTGGTCTACCACTGCAGTCAGTCCGAAGCATGTCATGCAGATGTGCTGTTTACAGAGCTGGCCAAACGCGATGCTACGTCCTGGCGTGATGCGGATGTCTCGCGTTGGCTGGTGATGGGCCTTGTGATGGCGTGCCACAACAATGGTGCGGACCTTCGTGGTGACGGGAGCTCTGAGGAGCTCAGCAAAGTTTTCCCTCGGCAAGAGATTGATGCAGGTCTTTGGCAATGGCGTAAGGCACGACAGCTGGTGTGGGATGTTCCTGAACATATCAATGTATTGGAGTGCCAGAGCGCGCTGATGATGATCCGATGGCGAGCTCGATCGTTGGGCCGACAGCAGCGAGTCTTCTTGCACCTCCTCGACAGCATGGTCAACATCGGTGCGCTCTCAAAGCGCCGTTAAAACAGCAGTCAGCTCAACAAGGTTGTGCGCAGCTTCTCGGCCTTGGAGCTGGCGATGGGCGCGCGGGCAGCATTCGGGTTCACCTCATCTGCTCGGAACCCCGCGGACGCGCCGTCGCGCCTGAAGGAAGGGGAAGCATCCTAGCCCCGCCGACAGGCGCACGGCCAGAGCTGGCCTGGGGAAGCTGCAAGATGCACAGATCGGCGCTGCCGCTCTTGCTAGATTCCGTCGAGCAGCCAGCGGCTTGTCGGCCATATTAACGCCATGAATCTGCCGTTGCCGTTCAATGGGGCACACGCACAGATGTCACATTACAAGTTTACCTTGCTGTGGGCCGAGGGTGCCACCAGGAGCCAAGCTAACGTTACACTGAGTTTGGTGCAGCACCTGTTGAGGACGCGCCACCGTACTCTGGCGCGCAAGATTTCAGCTCTAGCCTTGCGGCAGAGCATAACATCGCCTTAGACAAGGACAGCCTGTCAAAAAGGGAGCACGAGAGACGATGACGCTATATGACCCGCTTGAGGGAGCGGTCATCCGCATGCAGCTGCAGCGTGCCAGGCGTTCATGGTCCTCGTCTCCTCGTGCCTTTCATTTCCTTGTTCGCACTGGCCTGCGAGAATCGGGCGCGCGCATCTCGGCCTAGTCTGTATATGCGCAGAGGCGGTGCCACGCGCGAATACCTGCTGCCAGGCGACTTGCCTGAAGTGTGCTCCGAGGTCATTGGAGCTAATAGAGACAGCAAGATTTACATTCAGGTGGGGCCACGATTTTTGGCCGACATGCGTTTGCTGCCGCCGCCCGTTCCTTGCTCCAGTCCTTCTCAGGACCTTGATTGCCCGCGCCCGGGCATATTGTTGCAAGTAACCTCAAATCCAGGCCAGGTGCGACTCTGAAGAATGTTGTTGGCGGCCTTCGGCCATATATCGGGACACATTGGAGAGCTTTTGGGTGTTCTTGGAGTGGAGAGCTTCTTCTTCTCGGGCTTCTGGGCACAGCGTGGTGCGAGTCTGCTCCCCCTCGAGGCCCTCTTGGGGCGGCGTTCTGACCCCGGTCGTTGCGCGACGGTGGTACACTCGAGGTGCGAATTCTGCCGTGGCCTCGGGGTGAGCCCTGTGGCTCGCACATGCTGGTGCCGTTGTCTCGAGGCACTCGAAGCTCTGTCAACAGCTTTGGCCAACGAGTAGAGGGAGTAAGAATGGCTCCCCTTTATTCCCTATGAGCTACCGCTCTAACCCCCGCCTGCACACACATGAACACGTTTGCGGTCAATGTGTGGGCGGATAGGTAATGAGCGTACGTTGGCCGCATCAGAATGCATGGCAGCCTTTGTGGCCCGCCCGCAGTCCGCCCTGTGCCATGCCGTCCAGGCTCCTTCTCTGCCTGGCCGCTCTTGCCCGTTCAACGTCTCGCGAGAGCTTCGCTTCTTCTTCCCGGGCTTATGGGCACAGCGTGGTGCGAGTCTGCTCCCCCTCGAGGCCCTCTTGGGACGGCGTTCTGACCCCGGTCGTTGCACGACGGTGGTACACTCGAGGTATGAATTCTGCCGTGGCCTCGGGGTGAGCCCTGTGGCTCGCACATGCTGGTGCCGTTGTCTCGAGGCACTCGAAGCTCTGTCAACAGCTTTGGCCAACGAGTAGAGGGAGTAAGAATGGCTCCCCTTTATTCCCTATGAGCTACCGCTCTAACCCCCGCCTGCACACACATGTATGTGTGCGTGTGCGTGTGCTTGTGCGTGTGGGTTGGTGGGTGTCAGTCTGGCAGACTGCCGCCCCTCCTCGTGGTCCGCTCCGCGCTGCCGTCGGCCCGCGGGTCGCCCATCCGAGCTCCGCCCGCCGCGGCGCCGCCGAGGAACGGAGACGCAGCAGGCTCGCCCCGCGGTGGCGCGGCGCCGACCCTGGCGCAGGCGTGCAGGGTCAATCTCCGCCAGTGGCCCAGGATCGGGCGACGTCGGGCGATCTGCGCTGTCGGATCTTGGCATCGCTCGGACGTGTGCATTTTTTCTTGGCGAGCACCATCGAGGAGAAACCGGCATCATCGAGGAACAAAAACACGCACGAAACCGACAAATGCACGGGGAATGGACGTCCGAGCGACGGCAAGGGAGAGACGTGGTCGTTCAAGCTTGCACGACCCGCGCGGCGTCCGAAAAACCAGCGCCCGCGACGTCGCGAGGGGAACCAGAAGTAACCATCTGTCTGGCAGTCGAACAGGGGGGGTCTGGCTCCGCCTTCTCTCTCTCTGGTCGGGAAGTGGTCGGGGGGGGGGGGGGGGGGCGCGGCCGTCGTGGCAAGTGGAATCCTCGCGCCCAGGCGCAGGGCCCCTGCAGGCGGGTCGCCTGACCGGTGCCGCCTCTGTGCAAGCAGCAGCAGGCCAAGCGCAGTTTCGAATGCAGTGGGTAGCGAAGCCCCTCCCCTTTGTCCTCCTTCTCCTCCTCCTCCTCCTCCTCCTCCTTCTCCTCCTCCTCGTCCTCCCCCTCCCCCTCCACCTCCCCCTCCTCACCATCTCAGAGTCCTCAGCTCAGATCGTGATTGGAGCCAGCAGAACTTCGGGGGTGCCGTCATCTCTCGTTGTCGGGCGTATTGGATTCCATGAGTTTGGTCTCAGCTTCCCTTCTCGCTTTACAGTACCAGTAGCGTCGGCCACTGGGAAATCTTTGCTCGCTTGCTTGGCCCTGCGTAGCCTCGGCACCTTCCAGCAGACCCGCACACACAGTTTCTAATTTTCTGAGCGTACGCGGTGCAATGGCAGGCCGGGCCGTGTGTCTGCTGAGGATCTTGTCTGAAGGCTGGCCCAGGCTCGGAGAGCATTATGGTTTCTCACTCCTCACTTCGGCCGTATTCCTTGTTTTTGTTGTTGTCCTTGCCTTCCTCCGTCCTTGGACTCCGTCTCCTCTTTCCTTCGCGGCCTTCCTTTTGTCCCCCTGCCGATTCTTGGTGAGTGTTGATGATGGTTGTTGCTGTTTGGTGTTGCCTATAGCTCCTTGCTGGTGTTGCAGCGTGCGTGTTGCCGCTGCGGGTTGATGCTGCATGTTGTTGTTGCTGCTGCCTCTGATGTCATGCTGTTGCTTGTTGCTGGCTGTCGCTGTTCGTGTGGCGTGTTTGTGTGATTGGCTGGGTTGCTGTTTTTCTTGCGGATGGAAAGCGCTGATAAGGTGAGTATGTATGAGGTGGGGATGAAAATCAGGGTGAGGCGACGATGAAAGCGTTGGGAGGATGGATTTGTGATCGGGATGAAGGTGAACATGAGGTGCGGGAGAGGCGGGGGTGAGAGTAACGATGGCGATGAGTAAAGAAGTCGTGTCATGATATCGGGAGAAGGCTGACGATATGCCACGACTTCGATTGCCCGGAGCCGCTCTTGGGGGCTCTTGAGCGCATCTCTCGGGGACTCGCGCGCGTCTCGTGTAACCTGTTGTGACCTTGCGCGCCACCTGCAAGCTTTTCGGTCCCGTCGTGGCAGTGTCCTTGAGGCCTCTTTTCAGGAGCAAAATAAGGAGGACGCACATGTGCACGAATCCACGCTGATTTCGACAGTATGCCTTGCGCGGGCGTTCGTCACGCGAGGCTGGCCTCGCTGGGCTGGGGTGTCGTAATCGTGTACGTGGGTGGGCGCGCACGTCCTCTGTAGGCTCCCTATCTTGGATGGTCGTGGCCGAGGATGGAACAGTATCAGGAGGGGAAGAAACACACAGACACAACCATCAAGTCCCAGGAAAATACTGGAAGATATGGGAAGTGGGGGGAAGACGAGAACCCAGACATTAGCCTGACGAAGGACCCAAACATAGTCAGCTGTGAGTACCTCATCTGTGAATATCGTCTTCGGTGGAGCTCTTTATGGGGGCACGAACCGTCTGAGGGGTGTGCCAAAGTGGAATGGCGGCGGCACGCGGGCGCTACCACTGGGGCCTTCGGTGAAGTTCCCTATAGGGCGTTCGGCGTGGCTCCCTCTGTCCGTGATCTTTTTGATGGGGAGATAGCGAGAACAACTAGATCGTCCAATATTGACCTTCCCTCCTCCGTGCCCGCGCACTCCAAAGACTACGGCTGCGGCTGGCGCAGCGCAGCGCTGAGTCCCCGCGATGCGCGCCAGTCGCCCCGAAATGGTCCCAGCGACGCGCGCGGGCCGTTGCTGGCCGATTGCGGACAAGGCTCCGACTGCTGGACAGAGCGACGAAAGGCGAGCGAGGCGTTGGGCAGAGAGCAGCATAGAGTTCCCGCGGCGCGCGCTGGTCGTTCCGAAAGGGTCCAAACGACGCGCGCAGGTCGTCTGCGGCGCAGAGCCAAACAGTCAGACCTCCGAGAGAAGGCGAGGCTCAGACGGACCTGCTCCAGCTGCTTCTGCAAGCCTTCTGGCGGCCCTGCCAGGAAGAACTCGCTCCGCGGCGCCCGCATGAGCAGGAGGTCGTCGTGGCGCGTGGCGCGCGAGAGCATCGCGCAGAACTCCAGCCACCAGTCGTCGTCCTCCTTGTTGCCGCTCCCGACCTCGTGGCGGCAGCAGTCCAGGATCACGCTTCCGCGACGTCGGCCGAGGGAGCGGCGCGCCGGACAATCGACGGCCCAGGGACTGTCGGTGGAGCTCCATCTGGGGCCACGAAACGCTGTACTGGGCGCAGGAACCGCGCGCGAGTTTCACCAATGGCACCTTCGGCGGGGCTCCATATGGTACCACGGTGCGCTGTACTGGTCGCAGGAACCGCGTACGAGTTCCGCCACGGCGACCTTCGGTGGAGCTCCCCTATGGGGCCACGAACCGAGGTACTGGGCGCGGGAACCGCTTGCGAGTTCCGCCACAGAGACTTTCGATGGAGCTTCTTTGGTTTTGGGCCACGAAACACCACACGGCGCAGGAACCGCATGCGAGTTCCGCCACTGGGACCTTCGGTGGGATTCCTTATGGGGTCACGAAGCGTTGCACTGGGCGCAGGAACCACATGCGAATTCCGCCGCTGGGACCTTCGGTCGAGTTCTTTGTGGGGCCACGAAGCGTTGCACTGGGCGCAGGAACCGCGTGCGAGTTCCTCCGTTGGGGCTTTCGGGGGGGTCCCTTATGGGGCCACGGAACGCTTCAGTGGGTGGGGAAAACGCAAAAGGAGGAGGAGGAGGAGGAGGAGGAGGAAGAGGAGGAGGAGGAGGAGGAGGAGGAAGGAAGGAATGAAGGAAGGAAGGAAGGAAGGAAGGAGGAACAAAAGAGAGAGGATAACGCGAGGCGTTGTCACTTAGAAACGAAGACCCAAGACCACAGGAAGTAGGGAAACATACGAAAATATTCTGGAATATTCGGGCGTGTGTTTATTTATGTGTGCGTGTGTGTGTCCATGGGCCCCTTCAAAGTAGCACAAACATGAATTTTCGAGGATGCGTGTGGATTTCGGCTATCGGCGCTGGGCCCCCCAGGCGGCGCCAGGGAGGGGGGGTCCAGCGAGGATCCAAGAACTCCTCGCAGACCTCTGAAAGTTGATGTCTATGCTGATGCGTTTTTTACCTAACACCTTTTGCTGATCGGTTTCTCGTGGTCTCAAAAGAGAGCATCTTGACGACCCAAGGGAGTCTGGGCGGGATCCGGACAAAACCCGACAAAAGTGTCAAGCCCAGGAGTCCTCAGGAATCTCCAGGAATTCTGAGGAATCCTTGCGAATCCATTCCCAAAACATCATTCCCAGGCCACATTTTGAATGCCCGGAGCCAACTGTAGCCCGCTTCGTGTTCTTCGTGTTCCCAGGACACCACTCCCAGGCCACATTTTGAATGCCCAGAGCCAGCTGTAGGCCACTTCGTGTTCATCGTGTTCCCAGAGCATTATTCCTGTACCCTATCTTGACTGCCCGCAGCCAACCGTGGGCCACTTCGTGTTCTTCGTGTTCCCAGAACACCACTCCCAGGCCACATTTTGAATGCCCGGAGCCAACTGTAGGCCACTTCGTGTTCTTCGTGTTCCCAAAACAACATTTGTGTACCCTATATTGATTGCCCGGAGCCAGCTGTGGGCCACTTCGTGTTCTTCGTGCTCCCAGAACACCACTCCCAGGCCACATTTTGAATGCCCAGAGCCAACTGTGGGCCACTTCGTGTTCTTCGTGTTCCCAGAACATTGTTCCTGTACCATACTTTGATTGCCCGGAGCCAGCTGTGGGCCACTTCGTGTTTTTCGTGCTCCCAGAACACTACTCCCAGGCCACATGTTGAATGCCCGGAGCCAACTGTAGGCCACTTCGTGTTCTTCCTGTTCCCAGAACACAACTCCTGTAAATATTTTGATTGCCCAGAGCCAACTGTGGGCCATTTCGTGATCTTCGTGTTCCCAGAACACGAGTCCTCTGCCATATTTTGAATGCCTGAGCTGAGGCAGGCTGAGGCCGAGGCAGGCTGAGGCTGAGGCTGAGGCACGCCGGGGCAGGCTGAGGCTGCGGCCGAGGCAGGCTGAGGCTGAGGCAGGCTGAGGCTGAGGCTGACGCAGGCTGAGGCCGAGGCAGGCTGAGGCTGAGGCTGATGCAGGCTGAGGCTGAGGCAGGCTGAGACTGAGGCTGAGGCAGGCTGAGGCTGAGGCTGAGGCTGAGGCAGGCTGAGGCTGAGAGGCTGAGGCTGAGGCTGACGCAGGCTGAGGCTGAGGCCGAGGCAGGCTGAGGCTGAGGCTGAGGCAAGCCGAGACAGGCTGAGGCTGAGGCTGAAGCCGAGGCAGGCTGAGGCAGGCTGTGGCTGAGGCTGAGGCTGAGGCTGAAGCTGAGGCTGAGACAGGCTGAGTCTGAGGCTGAGGCAGGCTGAGGCTGAGGCAGGCCGAGGCTGAGGCCGAGGCAGGCTCAGGCCGAGACAGGCTGTGGCTGAGACTGAGGCTGAGGCTGAGGATGAGGCCGCGGCATGCCGAAGCTGAGACAAGGTGAGGCTGAATGGAGAGGGGGGGGGGGGAGGATGGGGGGGGAGGGGGGAGGAGGGGAGGAGGAGGGGAGGCTGAGGCAGGCTGAGGCCGAGGCAGGCTGAGGCTGAGGCTGAGGCTGAGGCAAGCCGAGGCAGGCTGAGGCTGAGGCTGAGGCTGAGGCAGGCTGAGGCTGAGGCAGGCTGAGGCTGAGGCTGACGCAGGCTGAGGCCGAGGCAGGCTGAGGCTGAGACAGGCTGAGGCTGAGGCCGAGGCAGGCTGAGGCTGAGGCTGAGGCTGAGGTTTCCTAAATATTCCTATGGATTCCTAAGGATGCCTAAGGATGCCTTAGGAATCCATAGGGATCCGTAGGATTCCATTGGATCCTAAGGCCGTTGCCACTGCGACTGTCATTGCGAATGCGACTGCAACTGCGAGAACAGCAGAATTCTACAACTGGTGAATGCTTCCAGATATGCTCATACACATCGCTGTTAGGATTCTTTGCCGGGATAATTTCCTCTAGTCGAAGCGTATTGCGGAAGTGTGACCGTTCGGTCTCCATTTCCGGATCACCCCGTCCACCCCCACCCACCTCGATTTTGCGGTGTGGGACTTGTGTGAGGGGCGTCTTCGGGCAGGCGTTCGATGAGCCTGAGATGGTCGGCGGATTTCAGCGGGGTGCAGGACATGCGTGCCGCCTTCGACCAGAAGGTCAAGGACGTCGAGGCTGTGCTCGATCGTGTCGACTACGCCGGATTCGAGGACCTCATCTTACCAGCCTCGAACTTATCCCTATCCCTAAGATTGACACGCCAAAAGGCGATGGCAATCTTAGGGATCCGCCCTCAAAAATAAGGGAATCCCTAAGATTGGCATCGTGATGAGGAGGTGCCCAGCATAGGGATAGGGATATGTTCCAGGCTGGTAATCATCCACGACGCGCACGAGAAAGTGGAGCGCTCCCTCGTGGAGATGGAGGCGCACGTCGCCGAGACGGAGGGCCTCGACGAGGAGACCGTGCTCTCGCACCGGGACGAGCTCGTGTCCATGTACGATTCCTTCTTGCTGGCGTGCGGGGCCAGCAAGATGATCACCCTCCCCGCGTGCCACGATCTCCTCATCGAGAGGGGCCTGCTCACCGCGCCGGGGCACGGCGATCGTCGGATGACCATGCGCGACCTGCTGGACATGGGGGTGTTCCAGGTGTCGGTCGACAAGAACAACGAGTTCATAAGCTTCAAGAAGTTCCTCCACATAGCCTCGGAGATTCGTAGCAGGACCGTGCCAGAGAGGCTCGAGACTCTGGAGGCGGTGTTCAAGAAGGCGGACACGAAGCAAAAAGGATGGATACATCTGGGCAAGGTCCAGGCGATGCTCTGGGAGATGGGCCTGGCCCCTCGGAGTCTCGAGGAGCAGGCCGAGGTCAGCCGCCTGATCGTGGAGGTGGACCGGGACAGTAAGAGTGTGATCGACGTGTCTGGCTTCCAGGACCTGGTGCTGAAGGTCGTCCAGCGCTTCCGGGCGGCCCAGCGCTACAGGCTGCGGAAGCTGCTCGACGGCTGGGGGATCCCGAAGACTGCCATCACGGACTTCCGGCACCAGTTCTACACCATCGACAGCCAGGGCAGCGGCTTCGTCACCGTGCCGGAGCTGTGGAAGGGCGTGGATACCGGAGTGGTGCCCCTCCGCTGCAAGGACGTGGCCGAGCTGGGCGAGGCGGTGGAACACGTGTGCGGTGTGGGGATCCTGGGCATCGAGGAGTACGTCCGGTTCATGTGCCACAGGTGGTTGGCGGGCGACCGGGGAGACCGCCATAGGCAGCCCGCCAGGCCGCTCGTTTCATAGTGCGGAGCACCCCGCCAGGCCACTGGTAATGAGGCCCCGGCGCCAGCAGGACCCACATCTTGGTAGGGGCGTGGAGTGTGATTCTGGCGAGCACCAATATAAAGGCTGCTCACGTTTCAGGTGCGTTGTATTGGCGACTGCGTATACTAGGCTAATTGTGTCTTCAGCACACGTTATCGCGATTGTGGATGATCGCTGGCACCCGCCATAATCAAGGTGATTGCCGGGTTGAGAATTGCATTCTCGAAGCATTGCCCTGGCGCAGATCCTTCGCGCTGTGGGGCCTCGGGGGTGCTTCGCGCCTTGCGCACGTTCCGATCTGTCTTCCAGGCCACGCCTTGTTTGTTGAATTGGCCGATTGTAGATTCGCTTGAATGGCGTCTCTGGCTTGCCTTTAGGTCATTGTTTGTAATCGTGGCCAGTTCTCTGGCGTCGACCGTCCAGGCTTGCTCTCTCCTCGTCCTCTTCTCCTGGCACCTTCTGTGCCAGGGGCGATTTGCTTTCTCTGGGAAGTGATCGTTGCGTAGTTAGGCTCCGACTAGTTCTGCTCTTGTAGATGTTTTGCTAGAGTCTCTGCCGAGAAACATGCACGCTGGCATGCGGTCACTGCGCAGCAGACGTATATGGTAAATAGTGCCTCCAAGCGTTCGTGGCACTTGCTGTTCGTCTGGGGAGCGCCAGGCCCCTGCATCGAGCTCAGCAGACCTGCTGTCGTCGATCCAGTGGCAGCTTGGCGCCGGTGCTGCGAAAAGGAAACGTCACGCATCGTCCAATCCTGTCGAGCCCCAGACGCGGCGATCGGTGGTAAGCATGCGCACCGCGGCCAAGCCATGACAAGAGGCGACTGCTCGAGCTGCGCCTGAGGGCAATACATATATATATATACACACATAAATCTATAGACCTAGATATATCCATATCCATATCCACTGCGTCTAGGAGTTTCGGGCTCCCCTCCCCAGAAACCAGAGGCGCAGTGGGTACATATGAGTAAACATCTGGCCCATGGAGGCTAAATGTTATCCATATCCACTGCATCTCGGCCTTTTGGCGCCCGTCGCCAGAAAGTACACGGCGTAGTGGATATGGATATACATCTAGCCCGCAGCGCTGGCGCCTGAGCCTGGCGAGCACATCCGAACTCAGCCCGTCGCCGAAAGCCAGCAAGACTCAGCCCAAATTCAGAGGAGCAAGACGTCATGATGAGGACACGCTTCAAGATTTGCATTGGAGCGGGCTGGGGGTTTGAGGTGGCCCAGCATCGGTTCCGACCAGCAGCAGGGCGGGGGAGTGAGGTTCGAGCTGATGGGTATGAGCAGGCTTTGTTGCCTCTTGTTTGTCCCCAGGAGCTGTTTTCGGGACCCAGGCGCGTCAAAAACAGATCTGGGGTGAACTGAACGGGCGAAGAACGGTATGACATAAACTTTTTCGTTGTCGGGGGCGCCTGTCTCAGGGCGGCTGGAAGTATAAACTTTCCAGCCGCCCTGGGACAGGCGCCCCCGACAGCGAAAAAGTTGATTTCATTCCGTTCTTCGCTCGCTGGTGAACAGCTGCACCAGATGGACCCCTGGGGACCGATTCTGAATGGATTTGCCCGCATCCCCTGGACAGCTGTTCTCGGGGCCCGTCCAGCTCAGACCACCCTGGCCGCCTCAGGTTTCTCGGCACGCCCACCTGGGCTCCCGAGACGAGCGCCGCTGGGCAGCCCAGCGTCGGAAAGCAAACGATGGCACGAACGTCAACGGTCGCGGGCCGTGCGAAAATTCTCGGATCGGCGCTGGATCCCCCTGAGGAGGAGGAGGAGGAGGAGGAGGAGGAGCCATGGTGCGCGGAGCGCGCCAAGGCCGGCGCCAGAAGCGCCGCCACGGGGGCACCCGAGCCGATCCGAGACATCCGCGCGGACCTCTGGAAATGGATGCGTCTGTGATTGGCTGTTCCCCCAGCTGGTCAGTCCAGGACTCGTGGAACGTGGCATGATCACCGAGCGCGTTCCACTACGTGCAAAAACATCTGAGAAACGCATGTCTGTGTCGATGCCGCACGTCGTAGATCCCCCGAGGCGGATCCAGGCCACTTGCGAGTAGTGACTTTCTCAGCGTGACATCAGTCTCGTCTCGCAGCGGGCAGAGGCCAGCGCACGGAGCTGCAGCAGGAGGGGTGCCTCGGGCCCGACTGCGGATTTTGGACGCCGTGGGTACTTGTTCCAGCGAGTTCGTCGGCTTCTTGCTCTTCGCCAATTTGGCGCTGCACGTCGACCTGTGGTTTTTCCTGGTCCTCCGCGTTTTCTGTGCCGCAGCGTAGCCCGCTCCTGTGCGCTCCGGTGCGTAATTTAGGCCGTTGCATTGACGTTTCGTTCTGACGGCGCGCGGCTGTACCGCTTGCGCTCGCGATCAAAAACAAATTGTTCCAGTGACATGAATCAAAACCCTCTTTGCGACGAAAGTTTTGCAAAAGCAAGATGCGTCTGTCACGGGATACCTTTGGAGGTGGTCAGTTTGTGATAAGGGGTCCGTGAAGCATGTTATGCTTGATGTGATCCAGACATGGTTCATGTCGAAGTGGAAGGCGACGCCGTGTGCAGACCCGCCAGCCGAGTTGTCGTGAGACGAGGCGCGAAGGAGCAGTAGTGCTTAGGCCCTCCTTGCAAAGGGAGCTTCGGGCTCTCGCAGGGCCACTTGAGACCATCCACAAGAAAGGGGGGGCAATGAACGCCTCCCTGTTCAGGATCCCGCCGGAAACTTCCGAACAGGCTCCAAAATCAATCGTAACCCTTCCAAACAGTGCCCAATCATTTTGGAAACTTTTGGGAGGGTAAACGCACCGGTCGAGCGGTCGAGCTCATGCTGTATGGGCGCATGACCTCCAAGGAAAATTGACCACCCGTGGCCGAGAACAGGCGTTCACTAAACGGCCTCGTGCGTGCACTGTTCAACTCTGCCCTGCCTGTTCGATGCCTTCTTTAGGCGCGGCGCTTACTAAACGGCATCGCGTTAGGGAGGGTAGCTGTTTTGCTTCCTATGGCTGGCGCCCCCCCTGGAGAAGATTTCCAGGCCTCGGGGGGCCCTTTGAGGTCCCAGGAGGCCTTCGACGGCCGGTTCGGTGAGGGCCTCGGTGCCCAGCGCTCGGCGTGGCGTTTTCTTCCAAGCCCTCCTGCGCCGGGTTTTCGCTGGAGCTGCCGGGGGAACCCATGCCAAGGAGCACCCTGCTTGCCTCCGGGGTGCCCTGGGTTTCTCGGGTTTGTATGGCTTTGCTATGTGAAGAGTGTCGTCCCCACACCAAAACCAGCGGTCATCCCAGGTTTTCCTGGTTGGGTTTCTTGTGCCAGGTTTCTAGTGGTCGAGGTCCTATTGTAGAGCATTGCGGTCGCGACCTCGTCCTTCTCATCCCGCCTCCCTTCTCCGATCCCCCTCCTCTACATGCTTGCTACCCTCCTGCCTGCCAGATACCATGTTCCCTCCCCCTTGCTGCTGCGATCTGCGACACTGTCGCCACGTTCGAGGGATATTGGGGGGTCCAGCGGAGTGACAGCATACGCGGATTCAGATTCGACCTCGTCATCTTTGTTGTGTTGCGAATTGCGAAATTCATGCCGCTTTGAGGGCTCCTGGGGGGGTCCAGCGGAGTGACGTCATACGACCTCGTCATGTCTGTTGTGCTGCGACTTGCGAAACTCGTGCCGCGTTCGATGGTTGCTGGGTGGTCAGCCGAGTGACGCCATACACGGATTCAGATGCGACCTCACCTTCCTCAGGGGGCTGCGAATTGCGAAATTGCCGTCACGTTCGAGGGTTGCTGGGGGTGTCCAGCGGAGTGATGTCATACGCGGATTCAGATTAGACCTCCTTTTCCTTCGAAGATGCTTGATGGTTCTTGAAGGATTCCCAAGAATTCTCGAGGGTTTCCTGAAGATTCCTGAAGGATTCACCAGGCTTTCTGAAAAGATCTCTGAAGGACTCCTGTGGGTGCATTCAGGGGTCCTGACGGCTCCTGAGGTTGCATGACGGAATCCTGGGGGTCCTGGGGATCCTTTCGGATTTCTGATCGATTCCTTCAGCGATTCTGATGAGATGGCGACGATAACTGTAGCACTGGTGATGACCACGATGATGAATACGACGCTGATGCCGATGATAACGCTGACGATGATGAAGAGAACGGTGACGATGACGAGAGCTGCGATGTCGCCTGGCTTGTCATGGTGCAGTCGTGTCCGCTCCCACTCCTCCCCTACAAAATTGCGCTTGCACAAACACGTAGAGGATGTCCGGCTTCCCGCGGCCAGTCCTGCCACTTCAAGCTCAGCGCTTTGGGTGACAGAGAACAGTGATGATGATGATGATGATGATGATGATGATGATGATGATGATGACGATGATGATGATGCTGGTAATCATGGTGATGTTGTTAATGCTAGTAATGGTGATGATAAGGATTATGATGGGGATCACGGTGGTGATGGTGATGATCATGATGGTGATAGCGGTGGTGATGATGTTGATGATGATGTTGATAATGAGCATGTTGAATAGTATGGTGATGATGATGGTGTTATTGGTGATGGCCATGTTGATGGTGATGATGGTAATGCTCCTGACGATGCTGTTGATACTGGCAGTGGATATGGTTATGATGATGATGGCAATGATGGTACCTGAACTGTGTTCGACGATGACGGTGCTGACATTGGAAGAGGCGATACTGTTGATGATGATGGCGGATAGCCTAACGATGATGATGTTGATGGTAATTAGGATGCAGCTTGTGATGGGGATGCAGGTGATGTTTACGATTATGCTGATCATGTTGCTGCTGCTGATGATGATTACAGTTTTGGGTGATTGTGAACGATGCTGAAACTGATGGTGAGTTCGTTCATGTGGGTGGTCATGATAGTCATGATGATGCTGATGGTGACGTTGCTGATGATGCCGATGCGGGTGCTGATGAACATGAGGATTAGGATGAGGATGAGGATGACGATGAGGATGAGGATCTGATGATGATGATGACGATTATAATGTTAACGATGGTATCGGTGACGAGGAGGTCGATGATCCAGGATGCACGCACGAACATAGGAAACCTCCAGGATTCAGGATGCAGGATGATGATGTGGATGAGGATGAAGATGATTATCGATGCTGATGCCGATGAGGATGATGCTGATGATGATGGTGGGGTGGTGATGATGGAGATGATGCTAATGAAGATGAGGTTGTTGATGCTGACCTTGATGGTGATGATGATGATGACGATGTTGATGATAATTATGCTGTAAATATTGATGGTAAAGGTGCTGCTGATGATGATGCTGATGATACTGGTGCCGATGATGCCGAGGACGATGAGTATCGCCAGCATCCGTCAGGGATCGCCAGAATCCATGGCGTGACAGATTGCCCAGCAAAACCTCGCTTCGCCCGCGCGGACACGCGTCAACATCGGCAAACTCGGAAGGACACCTCTAAGGCTTCGTTCTTCAGAATTATGTCATCAGGGGGATTCCCACAGGGATTCCGAAGCACTGTCGGTGTCGGTGTCGGTGTCCGGGGGGGGGGGGTCGCGGGTCCACGGGTCGTCAGTGCAGGGGTTCGCCCTAGGGGAGAAGGCGTGAGCAGGCGTACCGTGGGGCGGGCCCGCAGTATGAGTGTTGACGTAGTGATTGTTGTTGTTGGTGATCATGTTGTTGTTGCTGTTGCTGTTTTTTGTTGCTTCTTGGTTTGCTTGTTGTTGTTGCTGATAGTTTTCTTGTTGTTGCTGCTGTTGTTGGT